CCCCCCCCCGTCCATCTTCCCATGTCTCTTTCAAAGAGGCAAATAAGAGATACTCTCGTCATTTCAAGCGCGCTACGTACGTTGTTCTGTGTGCTATTTTTTATGGGTGTATATGTCATGTCTGTCTATGTATGTGTATGACATGAGTGCGACGTATCGCCACACGTGTTATTGCACACTATTTGCACGACACCTTTCGCGTGCTGCACCGCCAAACACACCAATTTGCCACGCGCTCGTGTCCATTCGGGCACTGTATTCCGAATAAAACGACACTGAAAGAGAAGAAGGAAATTTGGGGGAGGGAAAGGGGCAGGGGGGCGACTGTGGGGCAAACGGACCCGGATGAGGCCAAGTCTCCACGTCTTCCGCAATCAGCGAGATGACTGTCGTGAGGTTTGCGAACGCCACGCAGACCTGTGGCGTGGCGTAGCGTGGAGTGGCGCTGCTATGGGCCTCCCTATGGGCCTCCCTGTGGGCGGCAGGTGCAGACGAGAGCTGCAAGATAAACCTCATCCATATGCTGCACCGGGGAGCTCCCCCCCCCCTCTCTCTCTCTTTCTCCCTCTCTTTCTCTCTTTCTCTCTCTCTCTCTCTCTCTCTCCCTCTCGATGCGCGAGGAACAAGAGGGGCAAACTTATCTCGGCGCACTCAGCACGGCCATTATACCTGGATAGGCGGGCGGGGGGAGGAGGGAAATTGAGATAAGACGACATGCCTCCTGCAGGTTTCCGTCGGCACGCCGTCAGGACGTCAGGTCAACGTCGGGGCGACGTCGGGGCCACCTGCACCAGCGACATCCTGGTATTTCTAAGGCCGACGAATACGACATTAAATGGTTCAAATGAAACACTTTTCACTTTTATTTAAAGCTATTTCTGTTTGTTCACTGTAATAGTGGTGGTGCACACTTCCTTTGGTATTTGGAGTTTTGCCCTTCAAACATATATACTTCCTGTGTTTCTCATGCAATATATTGTTGCTGTGTGCAGCCCGCATGTGCAAGCGGGTAGTAGTGGGTACGTCCCGGGCGTGCAAGATAGCGTGCTTGCTTCAGTGCGGGTACCTTTGAGTCCCTTTTGGGAAAACGGGGTGGGGGTGGGAGGTCTGTTGGGCTCAGTCTGCTCCACCACATGTAGATCAGAAAGGGCATCAGAGAACATCGCCCCACAGCGGAAAATAAAAGTAGAGCAAACGACTCGACGGCGCCGGCGGACCTTGCGGTCCTTCGCCTGCCTTTGGCGTGCTACGCCCTCTGTCCTTGTCACTTTGCTCTCGCAACGCCGGAAGGCCCCGAAAAATTAATGCAAATCTTGTTGATGATCACGTGTGAAACGGCTGCATCCGGTCATGACTTAACTTTACTTGGGAGAGGTGAGCTGCAGAGACGCTTGCACGCGCGCCAAGTCGTTATCAGCAAAGTTCGCAACATTTCCGCAATTTTATCAGTAGCATTTCTTTATTTGAGGGCATAGAAAGCGTTTCTTATTATTTGTTAATTATTTATTCGTGTTTTGCCGCTCTCTTTATCGTCGCGGACTCTATATACTACGAGACATCTGTCAAAAATACAGAATAATGCAAATCAAGAGTAGGGCCAGTCCGCTAGCGCATTAGGTTTGACGAAGAAGAGCGAAATATGCATCATCAAAACAAAAGCATAGCGAAGAACTCCGACAGTCACAATAAGAAGAGATGACAGAACACTCCTCTTGGACCCCCCCCCCCCCTTTTCCTCTTTCTCTCTTTTCACCCCTTCTTCCCTCGCTCGCTCGTGTGCTCCAATGACTCACTCGGCGCAGAGCTCATCAGACGCAGCAGGAGCAACACAGAGGTCATCACATCGCCTGTTCGTTTTCCAGAGCAAGTTCACGGCCCTCTCTCTCGCCTTCAAGACGGACAAGATGACCCTGGAGCAGCGGCTGCTGCGGCAGCAACGCCAGCGCGACCTGGCGGAGAACAACATGTCGGCCGAGTTCACCAGACTGCTCGACATCCACAAGGTACGCATGCACAGTCGTTTCGAGAAGCAGGACTAAAATAAAAGGTATTCTTTCTTGTTTTACTCGGGGAAACCCGCCCTGAGCACGACACAGTGAGAATTCGGTAAAAATAAATAATTCACTAACTAAAAGGACATCGAAAAGAAACGAAATCAGGTGTCACGGACTTTTCTCCATTTTGGCATTTGACTTTTTGACTTGAGAAAATTTTCTTTGCTTTTCCCTCCTGTTTTCGCCGGTAGTGCAGCCGTAAGCGCCACCATATATTTTTATCGCAATCGGTGCTGAGAGATAGTGCGACGAGACGGGCTCATGTCAGTGACATTGTGTGGCCCTGTAGCGCCATCCGCCCGCGACTGAATAATTTGGCGAGTGGGGCGGAGCGGCGCTACCCCGTGCCGCGAGAGACGTGCCGCGACCGGGAGTGTCTCGGGAGTACCCCGGGGTGTACCCGTGCGCACGCAGTCTCTCCCATGGAACGGCCCGGCGTATCTCCGGCACTGACACTGAACCTGCTTCTTCTCACCGCTTCGGGGTTTTAAGGCCGGAAAGGTTGCGGGGAAAAAAACGAAAATAACAGGGAAAACCCGAAAATTTTGATGGAAAACAACCCTATATTTTTATTTTCTAAATCCTCACGGAACATTTTCCGGGAGGAAACGTGTTTTTTTTTTTCGGAAAACTCGAACTTTTCCGTAAAATTTATAAAATATATGTATAAAATAATTAAATCTCTATCATCTCTGCCTGCAGCGGCTGTCGCGCGCCACCTCGGACGCGGAAAGGGGAGACACGCTCGAGCGCTTCAAGTCCCAGCTGGAGGCTCTAGACCACGCCAGCCGGCAGGTCTCCAGCGCGGCAGAGGTAAAACAATGAATGAATGAATTAATCAATCACCTACGGACGGACGAACGTATACGTACGTGCAAACGAACAGACGATCAGAACGTACGAACAAAACATAACGTACGAATAGACGAACGTAAAGTACGAACGAACGTAACGTACGAACGAGGGTAAAATACGAACGTACGTGCGAACGAACGTCGCTTACGAACGAACGTAACGAACGAACGTAACGAACGTCACGTCCGTACGTACGAACGAACGTCCAAAATGTTAAAAGCGTCCACAGTCTTGAATTGAAGAGCTGCGAAGAGAAAAACCACTTCGCAATTGCTACATGATGGTTTGTAAATTAACACTGAATGACTGGATGCAAGAATTGTACAAACAGAAAAAAAATGAATGAGAGACTAACATGCATACTTTGCAGATGTACGGCGCGGTACAACAGGAGGACCGTCTGTCGCACGCCATGGAGGTGATCGACCTTTACGTCGAGAGTTTGAAACGACTGCATCAGAAGCTTTGCCAGGAGCTAGAGGAGAAAAAGTAAGTTTTTAGAAAGGAAATGTTTTATTCTTTAAATAAAATGCACTGCTTATTTTGATCTTACAATCGGGCGTTTTTATTTTGTGTGTCAGGCGCGTGCTGTCTGAGAACAATATCGTGCTGGAGGAGCTGCAGGACCCAACAGACGAGCCTCCGCCCCGTACCACCCGGTACCGGTCTCTGTCCGCTCTTGCCACCAACCCGCTCGCGGTAAGGCCACTTTGTCACCCACTATCTATTTCAGCTGTGCATGTTGTAGTAAGTAAAGTTAGCGTTGAACACACTCTATTTTTATTTTATTTCTTTTCAAACACAGGGTACAAAACGAAGAGCCTCGATCGCCGCCATGCCAAAGTCGGGTTCGCTCGGCTCGCAGCCCGACACCGCCGCTTTTATCCCGACCAGCGTTGCCCAGGTAAAAGACCTGACCACCACCATGAGCTCGACACCCACCCACCTACACTCTGTAAACGCGGTGTTTATCTAACTTTTCCTCTCCCTCTCAGGAAGCGCGGTCGGGCCGGTGGTCGGCGCCGAGCAGGGTGCGGCGCGTCTCCCTCGCCCTGGACACGACCCCCGCCGAGGCCACGCCCGGCCCCGTCGACCGGAGGGATAGTCGCTCCGAGTAAGTACCTAGTGAGGAATTGAAGGAGACGGTAACAAAACAATACTGAAACAATATAAAACCAACATGGAAAAAAATTATCAGAACAATATAGAAACGATGTCGAAACGATATTGTGTCATATCAAGGCCATTTCAAGATTAATTCAACACGAAAATCGACGACTTTCTGATCTGATATTAATATCCATCCGTCATCGTTTCGTTATCAAAATTTCTGGTACTGCCTTGGAAACAAAATCGAGATTTATTTCATCGTAATCGTTTTGTAATCTCTCTCTTTCCCTGCTGCAGTGTCTACAACATCCTCACGAACAACACGTGCATGACGGAGATCGCGGAGCTGTCGGAGAGCCGTCGGGAGAGTGCAACGGAGCCGGGCGTGGATGCCCCGTGCGTCGACAGGTGAGCGCGGCTTCAAGCGGAATGCAATTTAATTAGACAGCTCGCAGCCATGACAACAATGTGCACTTTACCTTTATTCTTTCCCGTCTGATTTCAAGCTGCCTGATGATGAGCCTGGGACAGAACGGCGTGGGGTCGATGCTGTTGCCTCACAACCACTCGGACGACGAGGACCACCACTCGGAACACAACTGTCAGACCAATGGCGTCTGTCGCATCCAGAGTCCCCCCGACACCATGCTAGACCGATTGTACGTCTTGCTTTTGTTTCACTCGTTTTTGGAATCCATGTCGACATTGCAAATTCACAACAGTTATCAGCCTGTTATTTCCTTCTAAATTCGCAGGACTCTGGTAGTCGAGTGCTGGGGCCGGGGCAGAGAGGTGGCATCCGAACTCTGGTACGCCGTGAGCAAGGACTCGTTCCGGTGGCTGAGGTTGTGGATGGTGTGCGCCCTCCTGGTCGCCTCCGTGGCCGTCCTTGTCACCACCCTGCTGCCGTCTGCCAGGCAGCCTGCTATCCCGTGATCGGCCCGGTGCATCTAGCTGTCGTCTTTCTCATTATATATGTTCACCAAAAATTTGCAGTTGTCTCCCGACTCACAACGGAACAAACGACTTTGAAAGTACCAGAAACGTTGTTCATAATAATAAAGCTTCACAAAAACCAATAAACATTTAAAATAATTATAAAAACGTTGTATCTGCCATTTATTCTTGGAACCTGCACAAAAAAAGCGAAATCTCAACTGTGGGATCTACACAATAAAAGCTCATGAACATTTTTACTCGTAGCTTACTGAGTTCTGTTGTATGTGCTCCACTTACGCATTTTAATAAGCCAGTATTTGTTCATACTGGCGCATTAAAAAATGCGTAAGCGGAGCACGTACACAGAACTCAGTTTCTGTAAGCTATGAATGAAAATGTTCATAAGCTTTTAGTGTGTATGTTCCGGTATGTTTCATGTTGATGCTACAGTGATGTCAGTTACCTCAACGACTCGGTTTGAACCCACAAACCTGGGAATACAGTGGACTGTTTCACAGGGAAAAGGGGAAAGGGTTTTATAAGTTATGGACAGCAAAACAGTACAGCCGAGGAGTCGAGTGTGACCATTGGACACCGTGCCTGTGCCTAATCAAATACAGAGCTGGTAGTATCGTTCGCAGCGTTCGCGATAGTGATCGTCACAGAAGTACGCCCGCTTTGATGAAATTTCGTGGGCAAGTACGGGACCTTAAGCGCCTGCAATACTTGGGGTAGGCCACCCCGCCGTACACACAAGCACTGCAGGCGAGGTGTTGCCTACCTACCAGGCGCTATGAAAGCCTGCGTCGGTTAACTAACGGCTAACGACAGACATGGCGTTCGTCACGGCGAATGACGGACCGTACGCTCTGCTCTGGACGATCGCAGGTGCATCGGAGGCAGTGGAAGGGAGTGAGCTCCGAGTGTCGCTCGATGGGTTGCCTACCCGCACGGCGCGGCGTCCCAAGCAGGCCGTGCGGGGCCATAGTCCGGAGGGAGGGGGGGGACTTCTCAAAACATTCACCTTCCCGTGCACACAATTGGTCGCCATTAGTTAGCTCCCGGGCCAGCCGCGCCGATGCCGCAATATAGCGGTCGATGATGGCGACGCGGGACAATGACGCCGCTTATGCTATTCTAATCGGTCTGCTGCGACAGTCGTTCGAAGGCGCCAGCCGCTTGTTTGGGCCACCACCACCTCTTACGCCTCGCGGGTTAGGCAACGGCGAGAGAACAAAAACCGAACAAAAATATGAGCGGCGAACGACAAGACGTCGGTATGGTGACCACCGGTCCGGGAGGGAGGCCATAGCCCATATCGCGCGCGGCGGCTTCGATTCGCCCCGGCTATAGCCGCGCAGCAGGGCGCCATGCGCTTGCTGGTCGGACCATTCGTCTGCTGCTGCCACTGGACAAAGCTAGCCCTGGCCAGAGCCCCGCGCAGCTGAGACTGATAGCTTTATATCTAACTGGCCTCACCTGGTAGTGGGGGGTCCCGTGAGGTCCGTTAAGGATTATTAATGCGACCAAAAACGCTCTTAGCCGGCCCGCGTATTGCGACAGGCGTGCTTGTCGAAGGCCACGGTCCTCCTGGTCCGGCTCGATTCGACCTTGCAGCGGCGCCCGCCCTCACCCTAGCCGTTGTTTTCCGAGAAGGAAAGAAAAATGTAACCCTTCAGTCTGGGGAACTCGCGCGCGCTTGGCAAATAACTCCCTGCCAGAACATGCCCGAGGGTGAAGTCGAGCCGACGTGGCTGGCGGGTGAGCGTTCTGCGCATCACCGACCTTGCCCGTCCTGGCCGGGCCCACCCGGCCCAGATGCAGGCGTCCATAACCTGACCTAACCCCACCTTTCCCTTGCCCGCACGGTCACCGATGGTGCGGCGGAGGAGTGGAAATGGAGTAGTTTTATGGCTGCGGGCCTCGCGGTGCGATCGGGGCGGCACGTCAGAGGATCGCCCGCTAAAGGTGCGCCCCATGTTACGTGCCCGCCGCGCGGCCCGGGGCGGCCAGCCGGTGAGAGGCGGCCGCGCTTCTCTGTTGCTCCGCGGGGCGGGCACGTGCGCCACGTTCCTGACAGGTTATCATCGCCCGCCCCCTCTGGGCGGCGCTGCGCGGTCCAGCGGTGTCAGAAGTGTGACCCGAAGTCGGGCAGAGAGCCTCCGAAACAAGGTGTGTGTGTTTTCCTGACGTCATGCCGCGCCCCGGATTCCATATGTCTCCATTCGCGACGTGGTTGCGGCCAGAGGTGGTATTGGGAAGTAAAGAGGTAGAACAGTTCGACTTATCTATTTTCTTTAATGATGTATTTGACGTGATTTTGACAGATGTGTGGCTCTGGGTAACTATGTACAAATGACAAATGGAGATCATGTTTGGCGATTGGATTACCACCAGCCTGGCTCGGCCTTGGGGGGCAGTGGCACCCACACCTTCTCCCAGACTGGCACTGTGACTTGCTTCCAGTCGGGCACCTGGACCTCCTTCCAGGCGGGAACCTGGACGGACTTGAGCTCTTCCTTCCACTCCTGGACCGTCTTGGGCACCCAGATCTGCTTCTTCTCTGTCCTCCAGATCTGGACAGACTCTTCTTTCCACTCCTGGATCTTCTTGGGCACCCAGATCTGCTTCTTCTCTGTTCTCCAGATCTGGTGCTTCTCCTCTCTGTAGGCCTGCTCTTTCTTGGTTATCCACTCTTGCTTCTTCTCGGTTCTCCAGATCTGCTTGTTCTCGGTCTTCCAGACCAGCTTCTTCTCCCAGCGGCCCTGCGCGGGGCCCCAGCCGTGTGAGGGCTCTTCAACCCAGACCTTCTCCCAGACGGGCACCTGAACCTGCTTCCAGTCCGGAACCTGCACTTCCTTCCAGATGGGCACTTGCACGTCCTTCCAGTAGGGCACCTGGACGACCTTGACGTCGGGGACTTGGATCTCCTTCCAGGCGGGCTCCTGAATTACCCTTTCGACGGGGACCTGCACTTTCTTCCAGTCAGGCACCTGGATCTCCTTCCAGGCCGGGACCTGAATCACCTTCTCGACGGGGACCTGGGTCTTCTTCCACTCCGTTTTCCAGATTTGTTTCTGCTCGGTCCTCCAAATCTGCTTCCACTCGGTCTTCCAGACGAGCTTCTTCTGCCAGACGCCCTCTGGCTGGCGGGGCGCGGACCATCCGGAGCTGGGTGCGGACCACCCCGAGCTGGCCGCGGCGGACCACCCGGAGCCGAGCCCGGCACTGAGGCCGCCGCTGAGGCCACCACCGAAGCTGAGCGAGCTGTCCCACTGGTTGAAGCCGGACGCGTAACCACCCAGGTCACCACCCCACTCCAAACTGCAACAAGAGTTAGTGCATTGCGTGTGAGAAATGTCACCAGGTGCTCTCGGCGGGCGGGCCGGGCGGGGCCCGCTGGGCTGGGCAGGGTCAGGCTGCCAGGCTGCCGGGCATTCCTCGGTGACGTAAGCTGGAGGCTGCACTCGGACTGGTCGGTGTCATCCTGGTAGGCGCTGCCCGGCTCGGCGAGCTGCCCTGACCTAGCACAGCCACACGCGGGTCTGGCCCTCGCCTCGCCCCACCCGCCACCATCCGCCAGTGGTCACCGCTATGTCTGGACCATCGGCAAAGAGGGCCCAACCGGGACGCCCCTATACAGCGTTTTTCGCAACAGCTTGGATTCAGACCGTACACTAGTAAAACTTTATTATGTTCACTTCACGGATGAAGCACTTTTTGCCACACAGCCACATCCCTTGTGTGTGACTTTTATTAGCTGGCGGTCAAAATTTTTGTCCGATGCTCCCGATCACTTGCACTCTTTAGTTGTAATGTTACTCTTGCTCAACGATTATTCGTACAAGCCTGTAAAAGTTTTGTTTATTCAGTTATCTATTATTTCTGATTCAAAAATATTTGTGCAAGTAGAATTGCCCTCAAAAATTTATAACACACAGAATTAAATTTTCGTATCTATTCATTTTTTTGAAAGAAAATTATGACTTTTGATGAAAGCTCTTTCAGTTAGTCCCTTTAAAATGGAACTATTTTGCACTGGAAGTGCAAGGTGTGTGAATGTCGCTCACCTAGTCTCTTTAAATAAATGTAAGAAGTACAAAAAATTGGATCTAGCATCCTGCCGGACCTTATGCACCAAAATATTGTGGTCACAGAGAAACACAGGGAACTTAGTTGGAACAAGTTGGTCGCGATAACTGAGAGACTCAACCACAAGCTTAATCCTGTATGACCTAATTCATCCTTCAAAATTGACAACTGCTCCAAATAGGTAACAGACGCGTTTCTACGTAAGTTAAACACAAGCTTCTCTGTCTTGTCAACAGCAAGGGAGGAAAAACTTATGATACGGACATTTTAAAACGACAAAAAGTTCACAGTGAAAAAAGTCAAGTAACTACTGTAATTTCTTAAGAATTCTAGGGTGTTAGAACCACAGAGCCTTACCTCTTTTTGTTCCTCTTATTCTGCGTAACTCCCGCTTCCGCCGCCGGCTGCGGACCCTGTTTGGCGTCCACAGCCTTCTTGGTGTCGACTGGCGAGGCCTGGACCGCAGCCACTACGGCCACCGCCACCTGAAACAAGTGGTCCGAAAGGTGAGGACGCGAAGGAACGAAACGATCAGATTTCAAGTGTGATCGGTTATAGTGCACATTATGGCTGACCCACGCGGAATTTGGGCTCGAATGGCACAAAAATGTGCTACTTCAATAATTATGAAGACAATAGTTTCGCTCATTTTCGAATATAATAAAAGTTTTCAGTGTTCTGAAGAATTCGAACTACCCTTCGTCGTTTTCTTCCGAATTAAACGAGATATTTCAATTATGTGGAACAAACCGGTGGTCCGGGCAGATTCAGAAATTTGAGCCATGATACACGTTATGCTACAAAACAGATCAACAAGATTCTATTTTTCTATTAAACTTGGACTGTCTATTGCACTTTCACACGTCACACGTCCTCAATGCTGGTTGTGGTTGGTAATCCATTAGGTGAGCACGCGCACACACACACACACACATACACACTGACACTGACCACTAGCGCACACAAGACTCTCATGGCGGCTGCTGCACGATACTCTGTCGCCCCTTCTCGCCCACTCGCCGCTCTTATACCTCCGCCGAAATGTACCCCCGCCGCCGCGTACCCCAGTGGGCTCCCCCCGCGTGGGGTCCGGAGGAGCCGCCGCGGTGACGGCGGGCCACTCCCTCCTCCTTGTCCCTCCCCGTCCCCCGCCTTTTCCAGACCATCCCTCCCCCCACCCTTCGCCAAATGGACCGCGAAACTGTGCAGCAGCAGCAGCAGCAGCGCGGGCTGTGGATCATCCCCTCCCTCCTCCTCCGCATCTCCCTCCCCGCGGCCTGGCCCAGGCACTGACCCTGGGACCCCTGACCAGGCGGTCGCACCCAAGCCGCGCTGACTCACGGTCAGTAGAGTAGGGAGAAAGAGAGAGAGAGAGAGAGAGAGAGAGAGAGAGAGAGAGAGAGAGAGAGAGAGAGGAGCGGGGCCCGTCGCGGCTCGCCGATGTTGCATCCTTGTTGAAAGGGAGTGGAAAACCACGGCCCAGGGTGTTCATCGATTCTCGATGAGACAGGAACGTTTAAAAATGTACTCAATTATTTTTAAAAAATTACTAAACACAAAAAGGCAAAAAAAAAAACCAAAAACACTTGATTCTTGATTGTTATTTCCGCTATTAGCGAGGTGCCGGTTGGTGGAACATACAACTTGGTCCTGCTTGGTGATCGGGTTACTCACAGATCACTTTCAATATTTACCGTTCCAATTGCAATAATTTCATACCAATAGCACACTGCATTTACTGATCGAAAATGTTTACATTTTAAGGTGTGTAAATAGTCGGTTGGAGCTGTCTGACCTGACTCAGCAGTCCAGTCCCATCGCGACCCCGCTAGGCTGGGCGCCCAGGAATCCTAGACGACGTCCACCTTGAGGCACGCGTGGAGAGGTGTCGGGGAATTATTGGTCAGGCCGGGTCAAAAGTCTATTTTTAACTGCGACCAGAGTAGTTTGTGAGAGGCGATGGTGTCGCACGAGGTCACAGGTCAGCCGCGTAGAAAATGGGAAATCTTTCCGTCGAAATGATCCTTGCACCCGCTTCATTCTGTATGGGAGTCCTGGTGGCAAACTGTCCCCCTAGTATAACTGCAGAGTAGCAGAGTGACAGTACCAGTAGTATCGGCTGAGGCTTCTTCTGCGTTTTACAACAGCTCAACAATGTTTTATAAAGAAACATATTTTTGTCAGATCTTACTTGCAAATTGATATGTTTTTTTCCCGCGCTCTCATTGAGTGGGTGTCGGAAGGTGTCTATTCACTACATACTCGCTCACACCCTGCATTGGCGGAGAGCCCAAATACTGGTGCAGCGGCGGCGGCGCCTTGCAGGTGGGCCGACGCAACATTTGGCAGGGCCCCTGGAGCCCCTGGAGCCCCCGGCCACCGCCATGCAGATTAGCATCTGATTTATGGAGGAGGGTGGTGGAGAGGGGGAAACACGGGAGGAGAATGACAAGAAAACGAAAGTAAAGTGCGATAACAATTCAGGAGAGGAAAGGTCGTGCTGCATGCGTGCGTGCAGCCTCTCTCTCTCTCTCTCTCTCTCTCTCTCTCTCTCTCTCTCTCTCTCTGTACGCTCTCGTTCTCTTCCCCTGAGTACGAGTGAAGTAATAGCAGAACTCCGCGTGTTACTTCGCACGCCAGCCAACCGGTGTCTGAGCGGGACGCAGCCCAAGTTAAGGGCGTGATTTTGGTGCTCCACTGTCTTGTCTCGTTCTCATAAAATCGATCTTGGAGTCTCTCTCTCTCTCTCTCTCTCTCTCTCTCTCTCTCTCTCTCTCTCTCTCTCTCTGACCATTGAAGAACCATGTGCAGTTTATTCTC